CAGTTGAATTCTCCCACAATCACATGATTACACCCCACAAATCCTTTGTGAATCACACATCCTTCTCATCTGGTTGTGTCTGCATCATCTTCACCGGCCCAGACTGGCTACATGCCGTATTGGTGGTTTTGAAGCTGACTTGATCAGAATGCCGTTGGATGTTTGTGCATTTGAGGCAAATGGTAGCTTGCCCGTATCGGAGTTGTTGCCATGGCGACAGAAGTTGCCAAGTTGCGTTAGGCGCTTCCGGCGTGAGTAGTGGAAGAAGCCAGTTTCACCAACTTAGCTCTGGTTCAGTCGGAGCATTGGTTGCTTTCCGTTCCGGTACTTGATTCAAAAGTGAAAAGGGACAGCAACTTCTGTCAAGTTTGTCTTTGGAGCTTGAGCAGGCTGAGAGTGCGTAGTCGGTTGGTAGAAATTTGGTAAAGAGATGCACGTCACTTGTCCCGTTGACGAGTTGTTCGGTGGTGTTACGAATTCCACGACTCGCCGAAGAGGCCGGCGAAGCGTTTTGGAAGGTACCAAATCCACTATTCGAGACTGGAAATGCTCATGGCAACTCAGACAAAGTACTTTGGAAGATTGGACTCGACCGAGAGGTCTCTCTGAAAGAGAGTTGCCAAGACAAGGTAGAGCCACTTTTCATTTTGTGGTCCTTAACATTTTGGATTTCTACGTCGACGAAGTGAGTATAGGCAGAATTAGCATCAGAAACAATAGTAGCAGCAGCAGCAGCAGCATTGGCGTGGACTTTTCAACGTTTCAGCTGCAGTAATGACGAGTTGGTGGTTCATGAGGACATGAAGCATCGGGACTATCTGAACCTGAGGAATACAAACTTGCAATGTATGCATTTCCATTTCGACGGAAAGTGTGTCTGATGAGGAGATTCGACGGTGCAATTGATCGGAACTGTCTGACCGAGGCAGTCTCGTGCGATTATGATTCTGAAGTGGATGATGATGATGATGGTGGCTGCACTGATTATCATTACGTTGCTGTGCTATTGATGACGATGATGATGATGCTAATGATAATGACTGCTGATACTGCTTATTCTGCTGCTACTGATTGTGATAATGATGATGGCTGCTAATAGTGCTGTAGGAATGCTAATGATAATAATTATTCAGTCACTACTGCTGATTATGATGGTGAGGAAGCTTATGATTTTGCTGCTGCTGTTGCTGTTGCTGTTAATGATGATTCTGGCCTTAATGCTTCTTATGTTTATGCTGATGCTGCTGATGATGCTAATGGGAGACTTTGAGGCTATCTGTACCTGAGGGATACAAACTTGGAATGTATGTAAAGAAGAGTCGGCTTTTGAGGAGCCAATTCGAGGGAAAGTGTGTCTGATGAGAAGATTCGATGGTGGACTCGTCTGACCGAGGCAGTCTCAGTCGATTATGATTCGGAGGAGGAAAACGATGATGATGCTAACGATTATGGTACTGCATTTGTCGCTGTTTATGCTGATTTTGATGACGATTCTGACACTGATTATGACCCTGTGTTTGCTGCTAATTAGAATTTTACTGTTTTTGCCGATGAGGCTAATGAAGATTGCTAATAATTATGATTCTGCCGTTACTGCTGCTGATTGTGATGATGCTAATGATTATGATTTTAATGATTCTGCTGCTAATTGCTTTTGATGATGATGATTATGATTATTATCGTTGTGGTGGTGGTATTTGTGTGATTTTGCCTGCCAATCCTTTGGCACCTCCTCAGTCCTGTATCTTCTGGCCTCGAGTGGTGTTGATAACTTCCAGCATCGGAGCGTCAATTTGATCCACTCTACTGCCGGTAAAACGTCTCGGAGGGTACCAAGTCAAGGGTCAAATGCTGATAAGTGCCATGACTACTCGGGGGAAGGGGGCTTTGTAATGAGTGTTGTACACAGTTTCTCTTTGTCGTGTCGACCTAATTGCCCCAACTGCAAAACGCAATCAGGCCAAATCGGCTTGTGTGATGTACAAAGTGACAGTCAAGCTGTTGCTACAATCATGTCAAGCGACCTCAGGTAACTGTGGTCGTTTGCGCTCAGCTTTGCCGCCCAACCGGTTTTCTCACCTCGCCTCCCCGCAACTCCACTTTCTGTCTGGCCTGGACGGCGTCAGCAACCAAATCCAACCCAACCACAATCTTAACCGCCCCGTAGTGGGGCAGAGACGAGGTAGCGGTGACGTTTAAGGTCAGTCGGGCCATTATCAAATAACACCAACATTGGAATGGTGCCGTAGTTGTCGTTGCAAGTGGCGTTGTTGGGCAGTTTCGGTATTATTGACTTGCGATATTGTCACTCATTCTTGCACAAAATTTACACAAAGCAACCAACTTTTCCTGACTAAAACAAGACTGAGAAGATGAGCCTCTTGAGAGAATGTTGCATTTATTTGAAAAGGGAATGAAGAAGATAATCGTCGCCTGATCTCACGGCAACATGACGGTGAAACAAATCATTGTAAAAGTGTCAGGTTAACATCAAATCGACAAGGCTAGAATGTACTCATGACGGAGACATATTGAAATACAAATAAATATAATGTGGTTTGTTTCATTTACAGAAAAGACAAATTATTCCATATCAATTTGTATGTGAATATTTTTCTTTATTACATTACATAATTGACTTGGTTGGGGTCTGAATTTGTTTTCGCAACTTGCTCGTGTTGTCAGGGCGGCTTAGTTGGACGCAACTTGTCTGAAGTCGTCTACAACTCATCAACTCATCATTCCACTGTCTACGTCTGGGAATGTAACAAGTCCCCTGACCGACAAGGTGAATTATATGAGATGTATTCACCCACAATTGTGGGAAAATTCTACTACCAGTCCTTCATCACTTTAGACGAAATAGGGTGAATACATGTCATATTACTGATTTACTGGTAGTCTCGAAAGTATACTCTAATACGAAAATAAGGTGAATTATGCCATCTACTATAGCAGAGACGTGCAGCCTTGCCAACACAACCAAGTCGCGAAGACGAGGTCAGACTGGATGTGTACGTGAAAAGGAGACGGTGAACACGATAGAGGTGACAACATCTCGGTTTACGTATCCACGTTGACGACTTGGTGTCGGTCAACTTGACACTTGAGCAGGAATGGGTTTCAGTTGTGGTGAGGTTGGCCGATTGATGGACGAAAGATGCGGGAGGCTGACTCGTGGACTGCGTCAACGTCCACTTGCGGTGAGATCATCAGCAACTTTCATATGTAATGAAATGAAATGAAATGAAATGAAATGAAATGAAATGAAATGAAATGAAATGAAATGAAATGAAATGA